TCACTGATGTATGTATAATCATGCAGAGAGAAGTGGCATATGTGACAACATTTAATACGCATTAATAAACTCAAATAGACCACTGGAGAATGTTACTTTGATATGAAGTTGAATCATAATTTTATTGCTCAAAGGACATAAACTAATTTCCACCTACAGTTTAGCCAAACTCTGGCATCTCTCTTAGAAATCAGTTTAATTGAAGTTAGACGATTAGAAGGTATAGCTGTTTAGTTTCAATTGCAATTCATTATTTCTTTTGAACTGAAAAGAAAACCCTGAACTACCCATGAACATAGGCAATGAGCAAATCTGCTACAAACCTTCTAGAAGGAAGAATAAAATATTGGGCAAGGAAAATTTTTCCCCCACGTAAGAAAAGGCTCAGCAGGACAGAGGCAAGTTTCTTACCCAACTTACTGAAATAATGAAAAAGTAATGAATTATCCACGCAAACTTCTGGGATTAAAATTGCAAAATACAGGCCTTTCTTGATGTAATTATTTTGTATGCCCTGCTTATTCCTACTCAATACTACAGTGTTAAATTTCTTTAATCAATTAAACAGGTACATTCATGATGCTGAACAAATTAAGTGGGACAACTTTGGACAGGATTTGCATGAGGATTTCTCTTGCCTTCAGCCTGCAGTGTGCTATGCAAGTGTGCCATCAAGTGGTACACAGAGAAAGAGCTCAGCAAAGAAATTATTCTCCACCTCAGAGACAGGAGACTTGAGTGTCCCCTGAAATTACACCTTTTTATCCGTAAATAACCAGGGACAAATATTCACGTGCCACTGTAAAAAGAGATGGAAAAGAGCTGAATGCTTGGGGTTGCTGGGCACGTGGCTACAGGGGCAAATGTCCATGAATTCAAAAGCCTCTGATGCTCTTGTAACAGGCTTGTATAAAAGCCTGACATTTCTTAGTCTGCCAAGGGCCCTAATTAAAGCCCAGTGAGGTGTATGTCCCACATCACAGAACAAAGCAGCCCTTGAATGACCCTTCTGAAGAACTGGTGAGCAGCATGGCTTGACCAGAGAGATGATCCTGATTCCAATGCCGCTCAATTGAGCCCAGAAGGGAAAATGTCACTGCCATCTGGGACCTGCTGGTAGTGCCTGGCTGGTGAAAGACCTCTGCACCAGGAGATTCTCCATCCTCATCCTTGCACTGCTTTCAGCCATGCTGGAGCTGATGAGTTTGGCTCTGACTGGGGTCAAGGATTAGGGATTAATTTAGGTACATAAAGAAACATTTTTTGGTGATTTCTGAGCATTCCATAGTTCTTCCATCACTTCAGCATCTCAAACCTGAATGCCATATAACTATGAAAAAATGTTTTACTACTTTGTTTTGGGGAGTTTGTTTTACATCCAGGTAATTTGAGCACATACAAGAAAATAGCATATTTCAAGAGCTGCCAAGGCACCTGTAACTCAGTAAAATCACTAGAAATTATCTGTCCCTAAATACCTTTACAAATATGATATTAGGTGATTAATTTCTGAGCATACAAATACATTGTACAAACCCACTGGTTTTCTTGGTGGGTGGTGTGGTTTTCTAAGTGCAGTGGGTGGGAAGATCAAGAGCATCTTAAAGCAGATATTTTATTTTTCAGACTAGCCTGGCTTTGCTTTTACCTCATGTATATCTCTCAGCTATGAATTGCCATTGCACTTTCCATTCTGGTGGAACTGAGCATCAAATATTACCCTATTTTTTCCCCCAATATCACCTGATGCCAATCACATCTCAACACTGCCTGCTTCCTTTGGTGAAAAAATTTGTGTTACAGTGCAACTCTGTAAGACAGTGTGTAGTTATTGTTGAAGCAGACATCTGAAATAACACAATAGGAAGACGCCAGTGAACAAGAACAATATGAGCAATAACTGAAAGATTGGTTGGGTTACCATCAGTAACTTGTGATTAGCAACACAGAGATGTTTGAATTGTGAAGACAGTTGGTAATTTTCTAAAAGCAAACAAAACAAACCTTTATAAATCAGCTTATTCTCACTGTGAAAAGCACTAGGACACATCCAGATTGCCTCTTTTTCACTGATTGTGAAGACTTACACTCAGTACAGTTATTCAAGGTCAGCTGAGTTGGGATATCTCTATCTGTATTTCTGTTCTCACCCACAGCCCACTTTCCCTGGCAGAAACAGCCACGGGAGCATAAAGGAAGCCCTCATTTACCCATTGAGGACTATCTGTCACATGGGCATGGTGAAATAGCCAGGTGATCTATTCTCTTTGTTATCAATAAAACATATTGCACACTAGGAGACCTCCTATGCTACCAAGGAAGCATGAGAGGAAATTTCCTCAGAAGACAATGGCAAAGGATGAAAGGTGATTTATTAGGAGACGTATCCCAAATTACCTGGGAAAGCAAGGAAAAGAGCACTCTGCTCACTAAAAACATATACACATCTGAAAATGCTCATTATTAAAACTGCAGATATTCTCTTCTCACCTCAAGTGCTGTTGGAAAAGTAAATCTGCTGATGCATGGAGGCAGGTCTAAGACATGGAAGACTTGGAAAGCAGCACGTGAAAAGTAGAGGTTGTGCTTTAAAGTGATTAAGGAAGTGAACATCAAAATTTCCCTAACAAATTTCCAAGGTGCTGCCTTCCCCTCTCCTGTCTAGTAATGTTCAAGTGACTGCAATGCTGGTTCATGGAAAGGACAATTTGTTCACCCTCTGCTCTTCAGCTCTTCTTTTGTAAGGCACTGGCTTTATTCTCTCCTCTTTAAAAAAGTAAACCTTAAATGAGTTTTTCTGTTCCCCACTGTGTGGCTAATGTGCTGCTCAGTCCTGTACAGCCAGACTGGCCCAGGCTCTTGGTTTTGGTAGAATTTGGTCTGAAATTTGCTGCTGACCGGTCTGTGTCAAATAAGGGCCATCACTGCTGAGGGCAGTGCTAGGGGCACCATCACATAGGTACTCGTGATCTAGCTGTATTTGCTGTAAGCCCTATGTTTAGCCTGCAAAAATGAATGAAAATGCTCCAATTTATAAAAAGTAATAATGTATCATTAAACAGAGAAGCTTTCAAGCATCTCTGTTTGCTATGTGTGCAAACCTCCCTCAGGGAAAACAGGCCGAGTTCAGTGAGACTAATGGTCTCTGTGGAACAGACAGAGCTACTGTGCAAAGGTTCAGAGGACCAGAGCTAATGGTGTTAGGAACCTCAGTGGCAGAGAAGTATCTCACAGCAGTAGGATGGAAGCTGCCCACCCCTCTTCACTGTCTTAAAAATTAGGAAGTTGACCTAGATGGCATTTTAATTGAATATACCTTTTCCTTTCATCTGCTCTTCATGTCTTCTTTCTGCACCTTGTAAGACTTCTCAATTTCAACTCTTCAAATTGATTTTCTCACAATTAATTGGAAAATTAACTGTAACTTAGTAATTATTTATCAAGTATGCTCATTATGCAAATACCTACAGATCTAAAATATATCTACACTCAATGAATTTAATAAGGCATTGCTATAGATATTATAGATTTGTTCTTCACTTGCACCAAATATTTGAAAAGCAAATGTTAGAATTATATTTGGTTTTGCAATCACTTCAGACTTTTCAGATGTGTTGTAGAATGTGTTCACTGTCATCACAGACCAGTATGCAATAGCTTAATTAATGCTGAAAGATCTGTAGAACATCCTTTTCATGTATCCCATGTCTCACCCATGAGCCATAACTGGACTGAGTACATTAATGTTTCATGCAGAGAACCAAGGAACCATAAATGTCAGTTCCTGGTCTTATTTCAGAATATGCCACTGTTGTACCCATACTGAGAGTTCTGCTCCTCTCTCTCTTTTTTTTTTTTTTTTTCTGCTGCTGCTGTTTTCATCTCTTATCATTAGCCACTCAGAGGAAGGTGAAAACACTGACATGGAAAACTTTTGGAGGTCTGCAGCCATTTCTGTGATTGGCTATTTTTATTTTTATGACTGTTTGAGAGGCAAAGCATTGGAAATACTTGGCCTGAAGTTATTTGTCAGTACTGTTAAAATATTCGTTTTCCAGACAAGTTGGAAAGTACAGAAGGCCATTTTATGTTTGGAAAATTAAGTTGCATCAACATTTAGCAGAAGAAAGCTGCAGGAACCCAAGAGCAAGAATAAAGAAAGGTATATATCACTTCAGAAATCAGAGTTAGAAAGAAATATTCAGGAGCAATTATGGGTGGGAATCCAGAATGTTTTTACTCATATATTGACCACATAAAGTTTTAGTGAGAAACCTGTGATATGATCAGTCTGATTAGGTTGTTTTCAAACATTTCAGCTTTCACAGCATGCTCAGTGAATGGCTTTTTGTTTTCCCTTTATTCTGCTTTCCCAGTAGAATATTTTTGAAGAATACTTTTCCCAGTCTGATTTACTTTTGTCTCTATTTCCCCTGGTAATCTGACTGCCTGAAGAACCAGTTAATCATATCTGTGTTCCTGGTAACTCACTGTTCCATTTGCAAAAAGATGTACAAAAAGGCCCAAAGAATCCAGTATTGTGTAGTCATAAATTATTCTGAATTATTCTGCAGGTCCTTCTTTTTCTACTGTGGTAAATCTCCAGGAAGAAAAAGAGATCCAACCAAGATAGTTCTGTCTTATTTCTAGAATTCTAGGAATAGAAAATGTCTGAATGCTTAAGGAAGATGTAACAAACCTTGGACCACGTTGCTCAGTAATTTTGTAATGCTTAGATGCTTTCAAGTGAAAGTGGGTTTAGGTAAAGGCAGAAGTAAAGCAAGGCCCAAATGAACTGTGTGTTGCTTACCATGTATCATACTCTGGAACGTAAATACAAATCAGTGGCAGTATTAGCAGGAATGCTATTACATCTACTCACTGTGTAAACACAGAGAAAGAATTAATAATCCAGTCTGTCATTTAAGTAAATAAGTAAGTAAGCCCCAGTCAAACCAGTATCCCCTCTATCATAAATATGAATAAAATACAGTCACCACTGTTGTCAACAGAAAATGTATTTCCTTCAGGCAGCCTCTGGCATCTCTCTTAGAAATCAGTTTAATTGAAGTTAGAAGATTAAAAGCAATAAAAGAGAAGGGTTTCCTTCCTTTTAAACCTATATCCATTTCCATATAGTTTTCATCTTCTTACCAGCACAACAAATGTTTTTGAGGCTTGATGTTAATGTGATGCAATTTCAGGAGAACTCAAAACAACATAAACCTTTTTTGACAGATTGTTGAATATCAGAAGCATATGTATTACTCCTTACACTTTTTCAAAAGCTGACCTGTTGGCAGAAAATGGAACGATGTCACTTTCCTAACACTTAGATTTTGTCATGTACATTAGTCCTAACCCAAGACTGGAAATAGAATGATGCAAGCATCCATTTACCAATGTATGTTCATAATGTAGTTCAATATAAACATGTTAACACTTAAAATAATATAATTTTCAAAAATTATAGTCACAGGCAACAAAATGTTTTTTCCATAACTAGTTGAACCTAATGCATACTTTCCCTTAAAAGTAGCATTCTAAGAATTTATACATGTGGTTACTTTCATCCTAGTGCATTGGTTGACCTTGAATTTCAGTGAGGCTGCCCAAAATATGATGAAGGGCTTGCTTAGGTTTTGTTTGTTTGTTGTTTTGCTATAATTTCTCTTTGCTTAGCATAAATGACAGCTTTAACCTCAATTTAGTTATCTAAGAGTTAGGCATGTTTAATGATCTTCGGTTTGACAGTGAAATTATCTGTACACAAGGATAACTTCGAGTACAACAGTTCTGTGCTCACTCTCAGTGGTGTTCATTTCCACTTGAGCCAGTTCCTTTAATTTCTAGTGTGTTGCTCCCTTGACCACCATCAGCTTCACCTCTCTCACGCTCCATTAGCCAGACAAGCACAGTGCATTCTGCAGTGATTCCACAGAGTCCCCTCAATCAAAACTTGACTGAAAGGCTGTCTTTTCAGAATCAAGTATCGTAAGCCTAACCTAAGTCTCTGAATGGTTCAAACAGGAACCATGTTTTGACCTGCATTGTTGGGAAATATCAGCAATTTTATTTCTGGTTATTTCTAGGCTTACTGTAGTTTTGGTGTCTTTCTTAAGAATGCCCCTCTACATGTCCCTCTTTCAAAGGACACTGACAGCCATCAACCTCCTCCTGACACCCTTTGTCTTTCATTTTCCTTTTTTTGTAGGCTTAGGAATGGGGAGAGGAGAATTAGTCCTTGTGGAGTTAGGCTAATAAATGCCATTTCTTAGTAACCTCACTGCTTTCTCAATGGCTCTGTATTCTTAGCCCAGCTCTCAGGGTTTTCATTTGTCAAGGTCACTACACGTTGTTAATTTGCTGAGGGTTTCATCCCACAAGAGCCCCTATTGATTTACTGTAAGATATTAAATGAATCAATTGCATACTTTTTCATAAACAGCATACAGTTCATTCCCTTCTTTGCCTCAGAAGCTTTACTTACTGTGAGGTTTGGACATCACTGTTGGTCATCCTCAGGATGTATCCCACCAGTATTGCATTTAAATAACTGAGCAGCCTGAAGAAATTTAATGTGAACTGGCTTAATTGGCCAGTTCCTGCTTCTCAAACACTGCCTGCAATGAACCAAGTGGCAGTCTGCCATTTCCCTCACTCATCCCAAGGTGCTTGTCCGTATGGATGCCAGCGATCCTGAAACACACTCAATTCCTTTTTATAACTTCCATACTCAGCAGTACTGACTACCAACAGCATTTCAAAGTGTCACAGGCTCTTTTAAAAAGGTTGAATCATGTATTATCACAGAAGAATTCCAGGGAGCTACTACACAGATGTAACCACAAGTCCTAGAGTTCCATGGAGGGAGCCCAGAGTGCACAAAGCCCAGTGACAAGCGAGTGTGTTGGAACATGGATGTCAAATGAACGTTTCCAAAATTCTTGCTGGATTCATAAAGATTGGACACTCAAATTTAAAAGCGTTGACCTGTCCACTACAGTTTTAGCCAAAAATCTCTAACCTTAAAATCTGCAGGATTATCAGTATAGATAAACCTTAAATTTTGCCCAGTGAATCCCTGTGTCAGTTCATTGCCTGGAAGGTTCTAGTGAAAGATATTTACTGCATTTCCCAGTTACTTCACATCGAGAAAAAGATGTCCTTTAAGGCACTAATTTGAAAGACTTAGATGCATGCATGCTCTGTGATATGCTTCCTATACATATTGGGAGGAATTTCATATACTTCTCTAAATTTTCCTTATTCTTTGGACAAAAATGAGTAATATGCCCAAAGTTCTCTACATATGTGTCCCCTCACCTTGCAGAGTAATGAAGTATGAACAGCATGTCAGTGAGGTTAACCTCCCTCTGTTGGATACCATGTTTTTACACTTTTTTCTTCTTTTCTCTCTTCCCATATTTCCTCTGCTTGTCGTAACTACAAAAGGTTCAGCAAATTCTCAGAACTTTTGCATGTGTATTTGATATATTGTTTTCTTGTCCTATTGTTAATGTTTACAACATATTTTGTATTTGCAAGATTTTATTAAGGTCTTGGCAAATCTGACATTTAGAAGCTCAAGGATCTGTTTCTAACCTATAACTTTGCTTGCCTTGACTTTTTTTAAAAAATTCAGGCTTCCCTCACTTCACTGTTTTTCTAAAATTAAATGTGCTTGTTTTGCAAATATAGAATGTACTGTAAAAGTGGTTTCTCATCTTATAGACAAATAAACCAAAGCCACATCAAATGTTCTAGAGGTGTAGAATAAAATCTTTTATAACTGTAGATAGCTTAATTTAAAATTCCAAAATGCATGTGACTATGTATCTGTTTATTAATTTCAGACTAAATGCAGTACGATCTACCATGCACAGCAAAAGATCAAGACTAATTTTGTAGTTATGTTTTTATTTTCAATTTGCAAATGTGTAAATGTATAAAGGTATTATTTCAGACCTCAAGAACTGCTTGATGAGTTCAGGTGTACCCTAAAAACAAATGTAGTATATTTTCTTCTGTGGTTTTGGTTGCGGAGCATACATTAGATTACACAGACACGATATTTGATCTCTGTGGACAGATTTCTGACAGCTTTGTGAGGACAAACTGTAGCTATTTATGTTTCCCTCCATTTCCATAACACTTGCCAATTGTACCCCATTCTAGAACTGTTTTAAGCTCTGTGGAACCCAAAGTCCAGACCCTAATTTAGAAATGTTCCTGTGGTGAGATTTGCCCATAAGACCACGAAGTTTAAACCTTGTCTCTAAATGCAGTCATCTTTTAGGCAGTTTCTGCTGCTTATGTTTTTCTCCCATTTGCTCCAGCTTTTTCCCTTTTCTTCACTTTTTTAGTGTATGAAGTTTTTCATCCTTTTACCTTTCTTTTTCCTGACACTTCACTGATGGAAACAAATCCAAACTTTTATTCTTTAAAGTTTGAGGAACAGTATGTGCAAATTACAGTGTGTTTCATATTGGGAATGGAGTGACACCACCCCAGGCAGTGCTCCTAAAGAACTAAAGCCACCAAATATGTGAGAACTTTACAAAGCAAAAAGGCAGAGTTAAGGGAATTCACCTCTGCAGCCCATGACTATTATGCTAAGCAATGGATGTTTTTATGGAAATCTGTACCAAAGCTACTTTTCAGCTGGAAGCTAGACAGGCGGGAGTAATGGATTTTTTTGTGGCCTGTAAGTACAGCTCTGAATTCATGCAACTGCAGAACTGCATCACCCTCACAAGAACATTGTAGTGGCTTTTGCCTCCAAAAGCTACAGTGCCTTTCACACCTGACATGCACAGGGGAAGTGCTGTCTACCAGCCCCTTCTCATGATGCACATCATCCACACACCTGTCATACAGCCAAGGATGAAAAGGGATACCAATGTCACTTTGGTATCTTTCAATACCTTCACCTGGTTTTGGGTTGTAATATAAAGTTGGAAGCTCTGGCAGATCTTGATACTCTTTCTCTCTCACCACCATCTGATGTAAATCATCCAGGAAGAAGTTTGGATTGTTGCATTTGTTCAGGATGCAAAGGTCCCTGTCTCAGCATTCTTTTGCATTCCTCTCAGTATTCTTGCTTAAGACATAAACTGAACAACATGAGTTGTTCATGCTGTTTCTACACACATAAATTAGTTGTTTAGCCTCTTGCCAGCTAAAAAATGTTCAAGATACCCAGTCTTGAAGAAATACACAAAGCAACATGGTTCTCCCATTTAGCTATGAGCAAGTCAAGGAAAATACTTGATAAATCCATGGCCTGCTCAAAAAGAATGGGCAGAATTTGTACAGGGGTTGGTTTGCTGTGTGTGTTATAACAGTTGAGAAAAATGTGGCACTTTCTCTTCCATCATCACAAAAGTAATTAAAAAAAAAATCTCTCAAAAAAAAAATGCTTCTAGAATCTTGTTCTTAAACATTAAAAAGCTGGTGTTTTTTCCCTTTGTGAAGGGGAAATTGAAAATCACAGCACTGTGAAGATTAGCACAGCTACAGCAGATAATCCTCACACCAGTCTTGCTGGCAACTCCTTCAGTAACTTTTGCAGCCAAATGTGAGGCCTGCCAAGAGCACAAAGAAATCTAGCCAGGAAGACAGCTACAGTTCTATATACCTATGCTAGAAAAACACATTTTGGATCTTGCTGCTGTGCTCTGATGCTTGCCAAGCACACCCTAGGAGTGGCTACACGTGCTGGTTTTCACAACAGAGAAACAGAGAAACAGGAGCGCTGTGTGAGTCACAGCCTGAGCAGTGAGGAACATGCTGCCATAGTTTTTTTTCCTTCTAGAAAGAACCAGAAAAGATTTCCTGAGAAATCAAGGTGAGAGTGCACATATTTTGTCTAATGTACAGGAAGAACTCTAGTCTAGACACAGACGGAACACATGTGAACCACATTCCCTGGATTCAATGGCAGATTAACCTTCATAAAGAACAACTGATTTTCTACACAGGGAGAACTGGGCAGCTGCCAGCAAGGACAGGGAAGTCCCACAGGACAGTGCTGAACTTCAAACCCCACGGCACCCAGCGCTTCTCAAAGATGCCATGGCCCCGCCTGGCCCACCCCATCTCACTGGCCCCTGGAGGGAGCAGGGAAGGAGGCGGCAGTGCAGGGCAAGGAAGAGGTGAAGAAGTGGCAGAGGACAGCACATGGCTCCACAGGAGGCCCCAGCAGCCTCACACAGAGGAAGAGAGTGGCCCTGAGCAGAGGCTGCAGACAGACCCACATGGTGGGTCTGGGCTGAAAATGGGAGGAAACAAAGAGCAGGGCTAAGGGACAGGTTTCACTCAAGCAATGCCAATACATCCCACAGGCAACAATGGTGAGAAGAGGATGCTGAATGAGCTGAGGATTTCTGCTCATCGTCCAGGCTTCTTTGGGACAACAGCCAAGGACCACAGAGCTGCCCCTGGGACCAATGGACTGACTGAGAAAACATCAGTGAAATGGTAGGGAGATTAGAAGATACTCTTTTTTTGCCTCTTTCAGCAGACTGACTGGTCATGTGTCTCTCACAGTCTGCCTGTCTTTTGCAGATTGAGCACATTTATTATTGCACTGGACCATTCATGTGTTTAGCAAGAAGCTCATGCCCACACAAAGAGCTTTGTCAACTAGGTCAACAAAAGATTGTCTTTGAGAAGATATATGCTTGGTTTCAAAAACCTGTACCCAAGCTAGAGAAACCAAATCAAAGCAGTGAATTGCAAAACTTTCCTCTTCAGACACATGAGCAGACCTGCCTTTTATTAAATCACTTTTCCTGTGTCCAAAAGCAGGATACTGTCCACCCTAATCCACTCCAGATGCTGAAGGAGAGAAAGGACACAACTTCTGGTTGATGTTGTTGCATCAGTATCAGCCACTAGAAGGGTTATACCCACACTGGAGCATTCCCTGCTCCTTCCAACTCCCTCTACCCCCTTTAACTATGGAAACACCTTAAAAACAAGGTGATGATTTTTGACATAAGGGAGCATACCTTCAAGAAACCACCTACTCCATAAGCAGCAGTCAGACCAGGTCAGGCAGGTGAGTTCCACCCTGTATTTCAAGAGGGGACAGGTAAAGGGATCTGCCCATCGTTGCAGATCCCAGGGAGAAGCTGTTTACCCTCAAACAGCAAGGTCCCAGCCCCTCACTTCATAATGGCTGCAGTTCAGCAGTTGGATCAAATGTGGACTTGTGGAGCTCCCTCCTAGCCCTGCTTTCCTTTCAAAATGTGCCCGCTGGCCTTTCAAAAGGAGTCCAACATTTTCTGAATACCAGTAAGTCACCAGGTTGTCCAGGGGCTGTTCTGTCTTCTGCCTTGCTTGGATGATGAGAAGCGCTATCTGCTTCCAGTGGTTCCTAGGTTTTCCACAAAGGAAGGAGGCTTTTTGGTCCTGTAGGCAGGAGTGCCTGGGATCCGGGCCCCTCTGATGGCACTGATGTAAGGCAGAAGGGGAGGCTCCCGCACCACCAATGCAGTGCCCTTGGGAGTGTAGGCTCGGAGCAGCAATTCCTCTTCTGCGTGAGCCGTCACTGCCACCCAGCCTGCACAGCCACAGAGAACATGGACAGTGAGGAGACAAATCCCTAGGATATAAACAAGGTCCTGACACAAACTACATCCTCCGCAGCTGGCTAAAAATCTGAGCTACCCTCACGTGGTTGCTTGAGAAACCAAGCTGAAAGGTCATATCTAGCCCTTTCCCAACAGAAGGCAGCACCTAAAGCCATGTTACTCTTCTCAGACACAGTTCTTTCCTGGTAAGGGATGGTGTGTACCTCCCTCAGACAGTGTGCACCAAAAACAGAAGAACGAATCTTTCCAATCAATGGCCCTTTCCCTCTCACCTGGACAGCTGACAGTGTTACAGCCATTCCTGATGCTGTAGAATTTGTATGGCAGCCAGAACATAAAGTATTCCAATGCTGCCATCCTGTACAAGCATGGTTGTCAATCTCCATTCTTGGAGGCTGCCACGCTTCAGCTGGACAAAGTCATAGCTGCTATGATTTTGTGTTGTTGACAGTCCTGCTCTGAGCAGGAAATAGAGCCTCACCCCTTCAGAGACCTCTTCCCATCAATGTTTCTAGGGCGCAGACCCTGCAAAGCAAACTGATGAAGAAATATTAAATTACCTGCAGAGGAAAGCTTGATATCTGCAACTGCCTCATTTGTACCAATTCCTTTCAGTGAAATGTCCTGAGGGACAAGTGGGGGAAACTCTTTCATTCTCTCTTCCCCACCCATGGGAACCTAAGATTAAAACACAGAGAAATTATTTAACAGTCAAGAGATTCTTCAGCATTCCTACCTCAAACTGGCAAGCAAGGCACAAGGAAGAATAAAGACATTAAACATTTGTTAGCCAGTCAAGAGCTGGACTGAATAACCTCCAGGAGTTATTTCAGGTTTGTCAGAACAGTCAGGATCACATCCAGAGGAACCCTGTGGGAGGTGAGCAAAGATGTAGATAGAACCCACCGCAGGATGCAGCTGGTGGATCAGGCCGGCTGCCTTGATGTGAGTAACAGCACATGCTCTCCATGTGCACAGGAATGGAAATACCAAGACAGGGACACCTCACCCCATCTCCCATCAATCTGCAAGTACTACACAGAATATTGCCACACCAAGGAAAATGTCAGACCACCAAGAGATGAAGATATGTGCAGAAGATCCAGCAGGGAAAGAATAAGAAAATTTTCAGCTGCAATCTGTTCTGAAACCCCAGACTGCAGGTTTGCAATGGAAAATATCCCTATTGCTGCCTGCACTTTAAGGCTGTTCAAGAAGAGGCAAGTATGACTAAGCAGAGAACTACAAATCTTATCAGCCTGAATGCTAGAAGCAGAAATTCTGCTGAAAATGCATCATCTTGAGTGCTCTTTCCTAACACACTTCAGCCACAGTCTGTGCAAGACAGCTCCACATGGCACATCTCCACTCACCCACTGCACAAGTCCCAAACTCCTGATACCTGTGGATGTTCCCTGTCAGTTGTACCCCAGACAGGTGTCCTGCCTACCTGCAGCCACAAGCTCCCCCCAGAACCTCCCCTTACCTTTAGGAATTCTTGGGCTGCATGCTTCTCATAGACAGTGTCTGCATTACCCAGTGTAGTAACATGGACTGGCAACAGGTTAGAAGCCAAGACAGAAAACCAGGCAGGCTTTTCTCCCTGAAATTAATACCAAAAGGATCATAACTATGTTAACAGAAAAGCAGCCCTGAATTGCTCCCTCCTGCCCCATTTCCTTCCTGCATGTTGAAAATCTGCCCTGCTTGATGCCCCTTCCCTGTTTGAGAAGTCCTTGCCTCTGTCAATGACAGAAGCCATGGTTTATATAAAATTGGGATTTGAGCTTCCAGAAGAGAAGACCAACAGCTTCACCATCCTGCCTCAAAGCACCCCCAATGCCACATTTATGGCCAGCACAGCTGCTCAGCTCAGGTAAATCATCCAAGAGAGATCTCTGCTCTCATTTAATTCACAAAAACAAACTCAGTGTGCTTATTCACTGCAAGAGGTGATGGACATCTGGTAGGTACTTCTTCTCCTATCACTCTACACTTGTAACACACTATGCTCATTCAACAGTACTAGGTTCCAGCTGCTCTCAAGCTATGTAAAGCCAGTGGAGCGGTTTCAGCAGGCACTCTCATCACATTTGCAGGAAGAGAGAACAAGGTCAGGGAGGGGAGAGATCTCTCCAAGCACTGCTAGCAGCCAGAAATACGGGCAGGAATTCCTCCAGGTTCAAAGGTCTAAGCTGAGGCAGGAGCTTCTGTCATGATCTGAGCACAACTGTCCTCCAAGATATCAAGTGGATATAGATACACAAGACTGATACATTGATGTGTGCTCCTGCCATATAAGAACATTTTTTACTTTACAGAATCCTGCCCCCTATACCTTTCTGGTTTTCTTCCAGCAGGTCAGGAGTGTCCTTAGCAAAGTACCAATTCAACATTTCTGTGGTGATTTTTGAAAGCAGACTGAAACAAAGGAATAGCCCTACACACCCCTAAAACAGGGCAAGCTACTGAGAAAATTATCTAAGACTTATGATAATGTCTAATGTTCTTATGAAAGAAGCTGCCCCTTACAGAGGAACCATCATAGGAGGTCAATTCCACACAGTTCAATAAAGGTGTATGGCATGGGGTTTTTAATAAATGGAAGAAATTATTGGCAGGAGGGGACACATTTCAAAAATACTTTTTACAGAAACTAAAATACATATGCAATTAATTGCTTCCTCAGGCAAGTTCTTCAGAGGTCTGCCAAGAAAGAAAAATATCTATGCTGTTCTCTCTTAGCAGGCAGGTTTCACAAAACACAGAAATTAGGAAACCCACCTATTTTCCCAGTTCATTCTGACATTCTCCTCCCTCCCTCATGCCTCTCTGTATGTCATGAGAAGCACATTAAACTCAAGATGTTTGTCAGCATTCCAAAGAAGTTTCCATTATATACTATGCAATATTGCATGCTGGTACCAAGTAACAAACCTTTCAACTACCTATCCCAGGGCACTCTGACTTTATGCAGTGATTAAATAACTGATTCATCATCTCTAAAGCAGCAATGAAAGAGTCTGGGAACGTTATCCAGAAAACCTTTTATCGCTGGTACTACAGTAAGAGATAAAGCAGCTGCTCCCAAAATCTTTTCTTCCTTTACCTCTAAGTAGTCTATACGTCCCAAGGCTGCTAAAAACAAGACCATTCCTGGCTTGAGAATAAAAGTCCGTGGAACAATGGCATGTGATGGCAAAACCAGTTTTACTTCCTTCTCTGTTAGGAGATTCAAAACCTGCAAAATAAATTGTCATAACTCATTCCAGATGTTTCAGTGGGAACAATGGCATTAGTACTGGCATTATATTGATAGAAGAAAAAGTACAATCAAAGCAATGTCAAGAACATATGACACAACAGTTCAATTATGGTCTACGCAGTAAGCGAGAAACAGAAGAATCTCCCCTGCCAAAATCTGCCACAATCTGCTTGTCCTCCACTCAGACTGATCATTGATTGCAGGAACAAAATTTGATCTGAAACTTGGCATGGAGCTCTCCAAAAGAGAGTGTGAGGATAATCAGAATCAGAAGCAACTATTTCTGGATGCAGGAAGTATTTTCCACAAGTATCCAACTCTATCAGAAGGGAAGGACACATACAATCAATCTCAAGATACCAATCCAGGTCTCTAAGCTGATGCCAATCTTTATAGAGACCAGAGTGCAGGTTAGTAAAGCAGGTTATGGTCAGACAAATACATTACTAGAAAACAAGAAGTCTTCTAGTGTTCATGAAAACAGCAATGGCACTCAAGCTGTAAAGTCTCAGCACTATTTTTGCACTTCATTCTCTTCAGAACCTTCCTGTCTGCCTGGTCTATTTAATCTTCCCAAAAAGATGACCTGCAGCTGTGCATGGGTACTAAAAGACTTAAAGTAAAAACGTTCCTGTTTTAGACATGTGCAATTCGTCAGCACTACTGACAAATGCCTGACATACTGGAGCCAGTAGCAGCAACACTGCAGAACCTCCTAGCTTCAGGAGAATGCTTTCTCTAAGATGGGGTTTGGTCATACAACTCTGGTTATCCCCCTAAGCTCCACCTTCTTCTGTAGGTTGGGAGAACTGAAGAAGTGTCAGCTCCATTGGGTGATGCTGGTGTGAACTTGCTAAGAGCATTCTTGCTTACTTCCCTTGGTTCAAAGGTTGTGGAAGCTTGGTGACACAGTCCTGCAGCTCCTTTGCAAAGCTGGCAGTATTGCACTACTCAGAAATGCAACAGCATTACCACATGAACCCCTCTCCGGTACATACAAACCTTATCTTAATACAATTCCCAGGCAAAAAGAATCCTAATGCCAAGACTATGGCAGAAGCACTCTCCCACAGACGCAGCTAAAGCAGAACAGTCCTCCCAAACCCTGTCGCCCCAAAACACAGCACCACAGAGTACCTACACAGTCTTCCTTTACAATTCCTGGAGTGTCAAAACACCACCGAGCATCCTTCACTTCATTGTGAATGAACTCTTCCCTCTCCTCAAACCTCTTAGGGGGATCGCTAGGATCTTCATCTCTAGGATCTTCATCCAAGCTGTAAGAGAGCTTGTCAGGGTCGAAGTCAATCTCAGCGCTAGACTTCTGCTGTTTAAATGTTCTTCCAACTCTTCCTGAATTAAAATGAAAGGTTTTCCTGGTAATCTACTTATTAGCTTGCTTTCCTTCAATCAAACATCTGCCCCTTTCATGGCTTAAAAGAAATGCACATCAGTAGTATAAAGGTGATGAAGACACTATGTGGATAGAAATTTGTGTGCTCAAAAGCCAAAATGATAAATACTTTCTATAATTCTTGCTTAGCACTCCTCATGCCCCAGAATCTCAGCAGGGACCAGATCACAGACACTTAGTTATTTCCAATTTATGGTAAAGCAGGCTGCTTTCTATTTTCAATGCCTCAGACTGCCAAACACAAAATTACCTGAAAACCAGAACTATCTTCTGGCAACCCCTTCTTTTGAATACATACTAAAATGATGTACAACCCTTGTAGCCTGCAGCTCAGATGTGATTATTTAAAATTAAACTTATTTTCTTTATTTGGGAACAAGAGATGGCCCATACCTGCAATATAATAACCTTGCAAACTGCTAAGCTATCAGAATTTTCCAGCCTCCTTCAGAGAGGAGATGCATTGCACACAGGAAGCCTCTGCTACTACAGCAGCTGACAAGTATTCAAAAGTACTAATGATGCTGCTTGTAGAGGAGATAAAGGCCTTGTCCCCATTAATCTGGGAGCAAACACTGGTCAAAATAACTTAACCTTTGTGTGATGCAGTGTTTCCATTAGGGGCAGAAAGGCAACACCTTTACTCACCCACTAGGTAACCTTGCTTTTTAAGTTGATTAAGGTACTTTTTTTCTTCACTGCTTAGCTGATCTTCTGTTTTTGCTGCCTCTTCTTTTAGCCTCTCCTGCCTTCGGAATATCCTGTCACACGTAGGGTTAATAATTGGAAATTTCAATAGGTTCAGTGTTGTTCCTGGGAAAAACAAACAGAAGGCATTTTTGGATCTCTGACTACTTGACATATTTCAGCTCTGAGGAACAAGATTACAAAAAACTGCTTCTTTAACTTTTTGGTGAAACCCAGTAACACAAAGTCAGAAGTGGAACTACAGATGCTCCCATAAAGTACCAGCCTCCCAACTTGGGGAAGCAAAAACAAGCCATCCACCTGCTTAAGAGCTGTTCTCTTCTACAGTTTGAATAAAAGGGTCTCAAAGCTGAGTGGTGCTGAGCCTTAGCATACCCCAGACAAATCTCAACTCCAGACATCTTGGTTTGACCTACAGGTGCTCACCACTCCACTTCCTGTCCTCTCCAGACTGGAGGACACCTCTAATGGATAGGGACAGAGCAAGGCATGCACATCAGGTGCCATCCTAACTGGCAGGGGTGCACACAGACCCACTCTGGTTTAACAAGCCTCTTTAGTGCTACAGGATGTGCAGTACACTCAGGAGGACATGCAGCCCATTCCTGCTGCCCCCTGTGAGGAATCACAGGATCAATTACGCTGGAAAAGAGACCTCTGAGATCATCACCACATTGACTAGACCATGGCACTGAGTGCCACATTCAGGCACAGTGACTCCATCATCTCCCTTGGCAATCCATTCTAATGTCTAATCACCCTTTTGGTGAAGAAATTCCTGCTAATGTCCAACCTCAAGCTGCCCTAGTGCATCTTAAGACTATGTCCTCTTCTGCCACTGGCTGCCTCGGAGAAGAGACTGCCTCCCACCTAGCTACAACTTCCTCTGGGTAGATGCAGGGAGTGGTAACATCTCCCAAACCTCCTTTTCTTTGTGTTAAACACTTCAGCCACTCCTCCCAGGTAATAATGTGAAGCACGGCACACTTCTGGAGCTTGCTGCCCACCATGGAGGTACTGCTTTGGTGACAGGTTCTCCTGCCGCAGGGGTGGCCAAGAGCAGCCTAGAGGCACATATCTCGCTTTTTTCTGCACACCCCGCATTCCCCATTACCCGGGCTACAAAGGGCCGAGCAGTGCCCTGACCTGGCCACGAGGACACGGTGGCCCTGTCGATGATGTCGGGGGCGCGGGACTTGCAGTAGTCGGAGCGCAGCAGGGTGTTGAAGAGCGTGGACTTGCCCGAGTTGGTGGCGCCCAGCAGGTAGACATCGCCGGCGCACTTCCAGGAGCGCTGCAGCCGGCTGACCAGCCCCTCCATGCCGTAGCCGGTCTTGGCGCTGACCAGGCGGATGTCCACCAGCGCGGCTCCCCGCAGCCCGGCCCGGGCACAGGCCGCCGCCACCCGCTGCCGCAGCCGCCCCAGGTGCCCGCGGCGGTCTGCGGGCAGCAGGTCCACTTTGTTGCCCACCACCAGCACGCCGGCGGCGGGCACATCGGGGCTCAGCAGCGCCGGCAGCTGCGGCAGCACGGGATCGGGCAGCTCCGTCACGTCGAGGACGTACAGCAGCAGCGGCCCGCGGCCGTGGCGCCGCGGGCGGCGCAGGGCGTTGCTCAGCACGCGGCGGTGCTCGGCGGGCGGCAGCTGCAGCCCCGGGGCGCCGCCGCCGTGCGCCAGCGCCCAGCACCGCCGGCACACGGCGCCGCGCAGTGCCGCGGGGCCCTCGCACAGCAGGTTGCGGTACCTCTCGGCCGGCACGAAGCCCGGCGCGCCGCCGTCCCCGCATTGCAGCTCGGCCCCGCAGCCCGAGCAGCTCACGCCGCTCGGCGGCACCGACGGGTCCGACAGGCTCGGCATCGCCACTGCCACTGCGCGCCGCGCCCGCCGCTCCCGCCGCGGCTTCAGCTCCCACTCCTGGCGCGGCGCCCTCTCAGCCGGGTCCCGCTCGTACTCGAGGAAGACGAAGCGCTCCTGCTCCGTGCCGTGGCCCGTCGCCGCCGCCCCGCACGGCCGCAGCGGGGCGCGGAGCGGAGCCAGGCGGGCAAGGCGGAACAGCCGCGCGGGGCCCAGGCGCAGCATGGCGGGGCTGCCTGACGTCGCGGGGCGCGCGGGCGCCTCGCGGGAGACGCGACGTGACGTCACGGGTCGCGCAGCCGCCGTCCCGCCGCCGCCGCCACCGGCCCGCGCCCGCCCCTCGCTCCGCCGCTCCCGCCGCCACCATGTACGACGCGGACGAAGGTGAGGGGTTTGTTTCCCTTTTCCTTCTCCTCTTCTTTCCCTCCCGCCCGGCCCTCCCAGGGATGGAGCCGGTGTCCGCGGGAGCCCGGAGATGGGAGATGCGGTGCCTCTCCCCGAGCCAGGCGCGGGGGGGACACGGCGGCGGTCGGAGCCTAACTCACACCTTGTACTTGCCCGCAGATATGCAATATGATGAGGACGATGATGAGATCACGCCCGACCTGTGGCAAGAAGCCTGCTGGATTGTTATTAGGTGACCTGCTAGAACTTGCTGTCCTTACCCCGCCAAAAGCTGTGCTCTCGGTCTGCAGGGACATCCAGCTAGCTCCCGGGAACACGCCTGGGAGCTGCGGTTTGGTTACGCTAAACTGTGTTGCAGCACCTTCAGAGCAGGAGGGCTTTTGGTAGAAACAAAAGGCTGTCGGCTGGGATTGAGAAATTCTGACCCCCAGCACACGCGTTTTTCAGTGAAGAAAGGGGTGGTTTTGGTTCCATATCAAGCACGTGGTTTTGCCCATTAATCTCACTGTTGTTGCTGGCATTAGGAAATCAGTACATGGGTATTTTCACCATTTTTTCTAGCAAAATGTGAGCATCCAGAACCTGTGTGGCTGGAACACAGGGAATCCAAGTTAAAAGTTGAGTACTATTACTTGGAATTGGGGGCATCCTCCTAGTCTACTGCAGCTAGGAAAATTAGTTGAAGCAAAGTAATTCATAGTGTTACTGAAAACTTGACCTGGAGCCCTTTCAGTGAGGTTTGTCATCACGTTTCTCTTCCAATTTAAGGGAATTTTGAGGCACTCACCGTGCATGCAGTTGTGGCTTAGCTAAGAGGTGGCAGCAAGTCTTGTCACTCCAAAGTGTCTGTGTCTTCAGGCAGGGAGGGAATTATTAAACATTTGTGAGGAGCATCTGTGTTTGAATGCCTTGGGTTAAGTAAATATGGTTGATTCTGTACTATATCTCATGGCTTGTGGAGTTTTGGTTATAAATATGTTTTAAGTTTGTTGGTGTGTGAAGTATATTAATTAAATTAAGATTTCTTATTAACCTGTTTTTTTTTAATTTTTTTAGCTCCTATTTTGATGAAAAGGGTTTAGTCAGGCAACAGTTGGATTCCTTTGATGAGTTTATTCAGATGTCTGTGCAGAGAATTGTTGAAGATGCTCCACCAATTGATTTACAAGCTGAAGCCCAGCATGCCTCAGGAGAAGTGGAAGAGCCAGTAAGTGAAGAACCTTGGCAGAGATTATGTGTTTTTACAATTCAAAGTCATTTGACATCAATTCTGTTCAACTCCTGTCCTGCTGTTTGAGCTGAGAAATGACCAAGTGGCTGCTGTAGCTCATATTGTCAGTTCCTCTGCAAAACTGCATGGACAGAGATTTACTAGAGCAGGTCAGGTAGCCAAGAGCAAGCTGTGTTTTGGTGAGATTTTGGTTTTAAGCAGCTTTACCGTGGCAAGGCTTATAGCTGAAAACTTCTCTTTAGCTTTGACTCAGGTTAGGTCCGGGTTTTCAAAGCGTGCTGTTGTTCATGTTCTTCCCTTGGAACTATGACAATAGAGATTGTCTCTATTCTGCATCCCATGATGAGTGTGCTCCTCTACAATGAGTGTGCACCTTCTGCAGTGGCTCTGGTGCTTTCACCTGTATCCCTGGTGTAGTCTGATCCCTGTTCCATAAGTGCAGATGGTGATGAGCCATTGCCTTGCTGTTAGTCACTACCTTGATGCTTCCCTACAGGGATTTAAATGAACTCTAGGACACCAGAGCGTTGATTTTATTACATGGTTTTCCTGTTCCTTGGCATTTTTTGCCAGCAAACAACTGTCCTGTAGAGAATAAGTGAGATGTCTTTTGGTTTCTTTGCTAGGCAAATGGTTCATAAACATTTAGCTCACTAATTCTTAATATTTTCTCTGTTATTCTGTGTATATTATGGCAGAATTCTGTATTTGTGCAGTTCTGCAGCTGATGTTTGTGCTGTGCTTGGTCTCTGTTCAAATCAAAAGTATGGTTTGTGCTGGGCTTCTTTTTGCCCGAATGCTATTAATTTACTTTCTCAAGTAGTGTCTTATTCTCATTTATGATTTGCAAGTTTTTGGGAATAGGTTTAGAGATGAGAAAAAGAAAACCTGTTTTTTCCTCAGAGTCACTTGCAGGCAATCTCTCACCACATTTGAAGATGCTGGACTAATTTAAGGAAACCGTGTGTATTAGGAAAACTTGATTTTTTTGTTTCTGTCTCCCTCTGCTTCTCAGTCTCAAATTTTGAAGGCAGTTTAGAGCACATGAGAGGGTTTAGCAACCATGCTCAGAGATAAGAATGATGGTATTCTCCTTAAGATAGCTTTCATGAGAACTTGGCAGTTGCTGCAAATCCAGGAAAAGGTGTTTCTTCACATAAGGATTGAGGTTTTTTTTTACCTACAGAACATTTGCAACAAGGGTGTGCCACCTCCTGTTGTAGGAAGCTTTTGTGCATTTTAAGAACCAGATAGTTTTTCAAAAACTTCAAGTCTTAATTTGTTTACTTGTCTTATCAAATCTTCCTAGGAACTGGTGCTACCCAGCTTGCTGTGTTTTCATTTATTGGTAGTGGCTGTTCTTCTGCAGTAACAGTTCTGGTTGCTAATAGGAGAGATGTTTCTTCCATTACAAGTAAATATATTCTTGTTTTCCAGCCCCGATACCTGTTGAAGTTTGAACAAATCTATCTCTCCAAACCTACCCACTGGGAAAGAGATGGAGCACCCTCACCTATGATGCCAAATGAAGCCAGACTGAGAAACCTTACGTAAGAGCCAACTCTGTGGTGGATAAACACAAGGAAGAACTGCCTCTGCCTTATTAATTAATAACCTTTTGCAACATAGTAGTGCCTTAAAAATGTAATAATTGCTGCTTTATTTAAACTTCCATGTCTAGTTGTTAAATGCAGATGGTGATTGGTGATTTGGTAATAATGCTTAATACACTTGTGTGTGCTTGAATAACTGCCTTCATTACTCAGGGTTGTAAGAAAGGTAGTAACTGACAGGTGATGCAGTTGGTGTTTTTATTCTGTAGGTATTCTGCCCCCTTGTATGTGGATATAACTAAAACAGTTATTAAAGAAGGGGAGGACCAGTTGCAGACCCAGCATCAGAAAACCTTTATAGGAAAAATTCCTATCATGCTGCGTTCCACGTACTGTTTGCTGAATGGTTTAACTGACCGTGATCTTTGTGAGCTGAACGAGTGCCCACTTGATCCTGGTGGCTACTTCATCATTAATGGATCAGAAAAGGTAAGGGATATACACAGCTATCTTTGCAGACACTAGCAGTTCTGTTACTTGTTCCCATATGTTTTGCCAGGAGCATAAACACTCTTATTCCGGTGTACCAGAGATACTGTGGGAGCTCCTGATCTTACAGAAAGATGAGCTTTTAGTTGTCTCTTAAGGCTTTCTCAAGACACCTTTTCTTCTCTGAGGCACATTTGCCATCTTCAGTTCTTCCCTTCTTCGGTTTTGTGAACTGCTTTTCATTTTGTGAACTGTTTGCCAGTAAGTGCTCTGGATATTTTGATTTCCTTCTTCAGTATTGCAGAGCAGCATGCATTCTGAAATGACGCAGTTCCTCACTCTGAGTGTTCTCCAGCTTGTTCACAGCTATACAGATGCATTTCATTTCAAGAAAAGGTACTTGTCTCTATTGCTGTGGAAGCAGCTTCAGAAAATCATATCTACACCCTGTTAATGCCTCACCAGTGAAACTGACAGGTTTTTTCTCTCATAACCTGGGGAAACACAGCAAAATAATCAGAATTTTTTATTTCTTCTTGGGGGAAAACAAATTCTGGCTTTGATTGTTGAGCTGGCATTTAAATTTGCCTGTGTAGTGCATTGGCCTTGGAAAAACAGATAGTGAAATGCTTTCTTTATCAGTGTGTGAAATGTCTCAGCATAGCCAGCATGTGTGGTAAGTAATAAAAGACAACAGTGTTCCCGGAGTTTATTCCACCTTGACTAGCTTATATTTTGTTTGGGTATTCCATCTTATCTAGCTTATATTTCGTTTAAATCTGTATTTTTAAAATACAGAGTTTGGCCAATTGACTTCATGCTGTGGAGTGCTCTTAAAGTTGAGGCACCTGGAGGAATAGTTGAAACACTGTGAGTGTTACTTTCAATATTCTCTTTTGTCACTTATTTACTGGTGCTCTTGTTTCTCACACAGGTTCTGATTGCTCAGGAGAAAATGGCTACAAACACAGTGTATGTGTTTGCAAAGAAAGATTCAAAATATGCCTATACAGGAGAGTGTAGATCTTGTCTGGAAAATTCTTCTCGACCAACAAGTACTATATGGGTCAGCATGCTGGCCAGAGGTGGACAGGTATGTCTAGGCAGCAAGAACCCCAGAGATTGATTTAGGAGTTTTGTTATTGTCCTGTCTCTTTGTGTCATTTGCTTTTGGGATTTTGAGAAGAAATTTTCTCTGATGCTAAGTTGTAAAGAAGATAAAAGTAAATGAAAATTTGTTATAAATTATACCTGTCTCTATGATAAATAATTTGAGGATTGAAATGAAGACTCAATTTGTGGTAGATTTTAGGGCAAGGCTAAAAGTAATTTTTAAATTACTATACATGAGTTTTTAGAAAATTCAAACAAGTTGTGTCCTGTTTTTTCATGAAGAATAAATAGAAGAGCAGGGACCCTCTACTTGCTGATGGCCAAGCTAGTGTTGAGATGTGTTTTGCAGACCACATATTAATTCATATTTAACATCTAATTGTGCCATCTGTGAGGGAAAGTAAGTGCTACTTCTAATGCAAAAAGTGTCAGTA